TTTTTTTAAAGACTATAATAATAGGCTGGGTGAGGTGGTTCATGCTTATAATCCTAGCACTCTGGGAGGCTGAGGCAGGTGGATTGCTTGAGCTCAGGAGTTCAAGACCAGCATGAGCAAGAGCAAGACTCCATCTCTGCTAAAAATAGAAGTGCATAGTGGTACACACCTATAGTCCCAACTACTCGGGAGGCTGAGGCAAGAGCATCACTTAAACCCAGGAGTTTGCGGTTGCCGTGAGCTATGATGCCACAGCACTCTACCCAGGGTGACAGAGACTCTGTTTTAAAACAAAAAACAGAGATTATGAGAGTCTGCTAGATATGGCGTCTTCCTTGCTAGCAGGCAAGCAACTAGTACGTGCTTTGGGCCCCAGTGGGGAGCTGGAGCCATAGCAGCTGCCCCAAAAGTTGCAGGCTGAGCTTGAGACTGCGCTGGGGAAAAAGCACACAGGACATGATAGCTCCAGCGGCCCCCAACACTTTCGTCTGATCCGGGATCGACATTAGCACCCGAGAGAAAGGGATTCCACAGTATACGAGCTCCTGGAAGGCAGTGAAATCTATCTCCCAGAGGTTGTGCAGCCTCCTCGGAACCCAGAGCTAGTTGCCGGCTGGAGAAGATTAAGATACAGCTGGCCAATGAGGAATATAAGCGGATCACCGGCAAAGTCACCTGTCAGGACTCAAGGCATGATGGGAGTCTCAGCAAGTGAGATCAGTGAAGGCTCTGGTAGTCGCTATCTTCAACTTCACTGTCACGGTGGCAGCTGCCTTTGTTTGCACTTACCTTGGAAGTCAGTATATCTTCACAGAAATGGCCTCGCGTGCGCTGGCTGCATTAATCTCGCCTCAGTGTTGGGTCTGGCCGAGCTGTATGTCATGGTGCAGGCAATGGAAGGCGAGTTGCTAGAGCTGTAACTGATGCTTCATCATCAAAGTCCAGAGGAGGTTTTGGAGGCTCCAAGCTCCTGACTGCCAGTCACTGACTGTTAATCTATCAGGCTGTTCATACTCAGCTACAGTTAGAAGACCAGGCCAGACCACGTGCTGTTCCTGTGGTAGAGACTCCCCCCTTGTGAATTTCCAAAGGGAGATCCAGATAACATATCTTTAAGACTGGAAGCACTGATTTGTCAGTACCTTCTCCGGAACCCTGTGCCGGGCTGCCTTCTCCAGTCCCTTCTGGACACTGCTTAGAGTGGAGTTTTTCCAACAGGAATAAATGGAATCCAGGCCTTCTCAGAAGTAGATCACACTGCCTTGAACTTGTCTGAGTACACAAATCTGTCCTTTTCCATACGTTTTTGGTAAAGACCTGTAGTTGAGATCAGAAGCCTCCAAGAAAGTAGAAAGGATCTCCTTTCTCCAGTTTATGTGGGGAAAGGAAATGATGAGAGGACAGAAATCAAGTGAGGGAAAGATGGGTTGTTACTGGATAGCAGAAATGGAAACAAGGCAGCTAACTTTTTGGAAAAGGAAAAGGAAGGAAGATAAAACCTCAGGCTGAGCAAGATCGGATGACCAGCTGTGGTCCTTCCTCTGCGAAATGGAGCCAAAGACTCTTGTGTTCTCCTGAAGTCTTTGTAATGTTTAACTTAGGAGAATTGAAATTAATGGTGTGATGATGGAATTTCTATAATGCACTTAAAAAGGTGTCAGCCTTAGTTACTTATCCAGTAGATACAGTGTTCAGTTTTTATTTCAAATCCTGTGACCACTGACACCAAACACAAAAGTTTCCATACTTCGGATAACTATTCAGGGTCTGCTCCTAGTGGTAGACTCTGTTCACTGTGTGTTCCTGTAGTTTTGTGTGTTTTCTCTTCAAAGCAGTTTTCTGTCTTAGCTTTTATACTCATTAGCTCAGTGGACATTTCCTCTGCAATGGTGACCAGTTTCCATTAGTTGGGGGAAAGTGTCAGCTATGAGAAGAAAAAGTATGTGGTATTTTACTGTGTTCCTAGTAACCTGAACTATTTAAGATCAGAATAAAAAACTACATTGGAAAAGAAAAACAAAAACAGAGATTATAATGATGTATTTTTTTATTGTACCTTTTCTTTGCTTAGAGTATTTAAATACACAAATACTTACTGTTGTGTTACAGTTGCCTACAGTTTCCTATAGTAACATGCTATCCAGGTTTGTGGCCTAGGAGCAGTATACGATACCACATAGCCCAGGTGTGTGTAGTGGACTATAACATCTACCTTTGTGTTTGTATACCTCTGTGATATTCCTACAGTGATGAAATCACTTGACACTGCTTTTCTTAGAACATATCCCTATCATTATGTAACATATGGCTGTGTATTAGACGATCTCAGTAATTAAAACGGACATTTTTATATAAAGAATCCCTACAGAAAATAGTAAGGAGAGGTCAAAGATGTAACACACTATTGACAAAACAAGCAAGATGAGAAAGCTGGTTAGAAGGAGAATATTAGTAACTGATAGATGGTCACTAGTCTAGAGAAAAGAGACCAGTAGAAGGAGCAGGCATGGTGGTTCACGCCTGTAATCCTAGCACTCTAGGAGGCCGAGGAGGGTGGATTGCCTGAGCTCAGGAGCTCAGAGACCAGCCTGAGCAAGAGCGAGACTCCATCTCTAAAAATAGCTGCGTGTTGTGGCAGGCGCCTGGAGTCCTAGCTACTTGGGAGGCTGAAGCAAGAGAATTGCTTGAGCTGAAGAGTTTGAGGCTGCTGTGAGCTATCATACTATGACACTCAATTCCAGGGCGACTGAGTGAGAGCTGTTTCAAAAAAAAAAAAATCCAGGACAGTGGAATGTGATTGAAAAGTGAATTAGGAAAAAATGGTTAATGTCCTGCAAGTCCATAAAACTGTAAGCTGTGGGGTTATCTTTTCTATGAGATAATTCATTTGCATCTATTTGCAAAAAAAAAAAAAATTTACAATGTATCCATTTTCCCCCAGAAATCAATAACTAATTCATTTCAGTTGTTTTTAGTGTGATAAAAGACATGTAACATAAAATTTACCATCTTAACCATTTTAATTTTTTTTTTTTTTTTTGCAGTTTTTGCCCAGGGCTGGGTTTGAACCCACCACCTCTGGTATATGGGGCCGGTGCCCTACTCCTTTGAGCCACAGGCGCTGCCCTCATCTTAACCATTTTCAAATAGGCTGCTTAGTAGTATTAATGCATTTACTTTACCCTTCCCTCCCAGCCCCTGGCAGCCACCATCCTACTTTCTGCCTCTATGAATTTGTCTACTCTAGGTACCTCATAGACAGAATCATATACTATTTGTCTTTTTTTTTTTAGACAGAGCCTCAAGCTGTCCCCCTGGGTAGAGTGCTATAGCATCACACCTCACAGCAACCTCCAACTCCTGGGCTCAAGCGAGTCTCCTGCCTCTGCCTCCCAAGTAGCTGGGACTACAGGCGCCCACCACAATGCCCAGCTATTTTTTGGTTGCAGCCGTCGTCGTTTGGCAGGCAGGGCTGGATTCGAACCCGCCACCTTAGGTGTATGTGGCTGGCACCTTAGCTATTTGAGCCACAGGCACCAAGCTTACTATTTGTCTTTTATAATTAATTTGTTTTGCTTAGCATAATGTCCTCAAGGTTCATCTACTTTGTAGCATGCCAGGATTTCCTTCCTTTTTAAGACTGAGTAATATTCCATTGTATGTATATACAATATTTTATTTATCCATTCATCTGTCTATGGATATTTGAGTTGCTTTCACATTTGGCTATGAATAAGGCTGTTATGAACATGGGTGTACAAACATCGACTTTCAGTTCTTTGGGGTATATCTAAAAAAGTGGAATTGGTAGAGCAATTATTCATTTTTAAAATGTAACATCAAACTTTACAAAGTCTGGATCCTAATCTTTTTTTTTTTGAGACAAAGTTTTGCTTTATAGCCCTCAGTAGAGTGCCTTGGCCTCACAGCTTACAGCAACCTCAAACTTTTGAGCTTAAGTGATTCTCTTGCCTCAACCTCCCAAGTAGCTGAGATGACAGGGGCCTGCCACAAGGCCAGCTATTTTTAGAGATGAGGTCTTGCTCTGGCTCAGGCTGGTCTCCAACCTGTGAGCTCAGGCAATCCACCCACCTCAGCCTCCCAAGTGCTGGGATTACAGGTGTGAGCCACCACGCCTGGCACCTAATCAATCTTAAATATTAAGTCAAACAAAGTTACCATCCCCTAAAGCATCAGGTGACCAAGAGGTGGGCCTATTAGGTGATATTCTAGAATGGCTGTGAAACCACACACAGTAATCTTTTACCTCATTTCCAGTTTGGGATCATTTTTCTCAGCAGTCCACCCATGGAGAGTCTAGGGGTCCTGTATTATCAACTATTTTATTTCCACTGGCTAGGCCCAGAAGAACTGTTGAATGAATGAAGGGGCCTACATCACCAAGAGCTGATGCTTGCAAACTGCCTGTCAAAGAGTCTGGCACATTGTGGGTGCTTAAGACATAGGAGGAGTTAATATTATTGTTATGCGGCAGCTGGGTGGGGGAAGGGAGCTGGTTATGACTCAAGGGAGTGGGGGTGGCCCTGACTCTTGTCATGGAGGGGACTGAGAGAGGGTCCTGGGGCCTGGGTGCCTCCATGTCATAATGCTGGGGGAACTATTATTTCTCTTGAGGAGTCTTCATGGGCTACTCACCTCCTCAGGCACCATGGGAGCAGTGGTGGCTTGGCTGATAAGCTATAAGCCAGCTTTGTTTGGATTCCTGCTCTTTCTCCTGTTGCTTAGCAACTGGCTGGTCAAGCGTGAACACAAGTCTACCCACTTAGAGGTGAGCAAGAGATGGCTTGGCCTCAGCTGAGGGGGCTAGGGTCTGTATAACTAGATTGGGGGTTAGGGCACAGGGCGGGTGTCAGAAAAATGGGGCAAGACTGAGCAATCCAACACTCTGGTCCCTGCTCGGCAGCTTCCTCTTGGCTGACGGTAGACAAATCACTTTCCTCCCCAAGGTCTTAGTGGCCTCAGTTGTAAAATGGGAACCATCCCAGACTCTCCCACCAGTTTGATGTCCACTTGCTTTGGTAACAAGTAACCAAACATAGTAAACAACTCCTTTAATGTGGTAAAAATTAAAATGGATGAACCAGAGTTACACGTATCCACACAGATACATCTCTGAGATACGATATTGGAGATAGCAGAAATGTACATAGATTGTGGGGTCTTTCATATAATGTTTAAAAAAACACCCCAAACAATACCCTATATAGTTTATGGACAATATATGTCCTGAAAGTATTTTAAGGCAGAATGTCTCAACCTCGACACGATTGCTATTTTGGGCCAGATAATTCTGTGTTGTGAGGGACTATCCTGTGCATTATTGGAAGTTTGGCAGCATCTCTAGCCTCTTGCCATGAGATGCAGGTTGGTGTCTCCAGACATCACCAAAATGTCTCCTGGGGGTGGCGCCCATATCTGTTGACAAGGTGCAGGCCACATACACCAAGGGTGGCAATTCAAACCTGGCCCCGGCCAGCTAAAAACAACAATGCAACTGCAACAAAAAAAATAGCTGGGCATTGAGTCGGGCACCTGTAGTCCCAGCTACTTGGGAGACTAAGGCGGGAGAATCGCTTCAGCCCACGAGTTTGAGGTTGCTGTGAGCTGTAACGCCACAGCATTCTACCCAGGCTGACAGGTTAAGACTGTCTCAAAAAAAAAGAAAAAGAAAAAGAAATGTGGAGGCTGTGTTCTTGTGGCTCAATGGTTAGAGCACCAGCCCCGTGCATGGGGTGGGAGGTGGTGGGTTGGAACCCAGCCCAGACCTGCTAAACAACAACAACCCAAAAAAAATGTGTGGGAAAAATAAATACCAATTTCAGGAGTACAGTTGAGGAGATGATGTTCAGGAAGGGAGGGGGAAACACTAAAGGAGAGAAGTTCAATTATATTTATGATATTTTGTCTTCTTTTTTTTTTTTTTGAGACAGGGTCTCACTATGTCGCCCCTGGTAAAGTGCTGTGGCATCACAGCTCATAGCAACTTCAAACTCTTGGACTTAAGTGATTCTCTTGCCTCAGCCTCCCAAGTAGTTGGGACTACAGGGGCCCACCACAATGCCTGACTATTTTGTTGTTGTTGTTGTTATTGTATTTTGGCAGGCCCGGGCCGGATTCAAACCCCGCCAGCCCTGGTGTATATGGCCAGCACCCTAGCGGCTGAGCTACAGGCGCCGAGCCTTAAAATTATTTTAAATTGCTCATGAACTTTATAGACACCCTGTAACATTTGCCTTTTTTGCTTGCCTGAAATATTTATTTTTAAAAATGTTTCTAAAGACCAATTATTGTAGCTGAATCCAAGAAGAAAAAATAACCAGGTACAGTGGCTCATGCCTGTAATCCCAGCACTCTGGGAGGCCAGGGTAGGTGGATTGCCTGGGCTCACGGGTTCAAGACCAGCCTGAGCAAGAGCAAGACCCTGTCTCTAAAATTAGCCGGGCGTTGTGGTGGACACCTATAGTCCCAGCTACTTGGGAGGCTGAGGCAAGAGGATTGCTTGAGCCCAAGAGTTTGATGTTGCTATGAGCTATGACTGCACAGCACTCTACCGAGGGCAACATAGTGAGACTCTGTTTCAAAAAAAAAAAGAAAGAAAAGAAAAAAATGAAGTGTTATCATTAACCAGGGGAGGGGTCAGACGAAGATTACAGAGATAATAGACTGTCATGTGTCCCTGAGACTTTTTTTTTTTTCAGTTTTTGGCCGGGGCTGGGTTTGAACCTGCCACCTTCGGCATATGGGGCTGGCACCCCCACTCCTTTGAGCCACAGGCACCATCCCAGAGCATGTTTTTTTGGTTTTTGGGGGGTTTTTTAAGCTGTTTTTGGCTGGGGCTGGGTTTGAACCCGCCACCTCCAGCATATGGGGCTGGCCCTACTCCTTGAGCCACAGGCACTGCTCCCATGAGACTTTGAAATTGGAGAATTTACCAGGCCTAGCAAAATGCTCAGAGAGGGATGTTGGAAAAACAAAGGGCCTGAATATGGATACATCCGGGCTAAGCAAGGGCTTTCTGTCCTCTGTGACTGGCAGATTCACAGGCTACCTCATTTATTCCTATGAACCAAAGACAACCATGGGACTTGGGACTTTGGGGCTGTATGATGCTGAGAAAGTGGCCTGCCCCTGGGCCTCAAGTCTCATCCCCTCGCAGGCTTGTGAGAATCTATTAAGATAATGTGTATAAGCCACCTGTCATGGAGCAGGTGTTCAACCGGGGACAGGATTATCATTATTAACCAACTTTCCCCCTTTCCTGGTGGTGGGGCACTTAGGAGAAGGCGGAGAAACCAAAGGCTTCTGACAGCAACTATGAGGCCGACAAGGCCACGAAGAATGGAAAGAAAGAAGTAGAAAGGATGAACGCTTGCTTCGCCCTCCAGGACAAGGTCTATGAGCGGCTGTTGGTCGGTGAAATGAAGCTGAAGGTCTTAGAAAATCAGATGTTCATCATATGGAATAAAATGAATCGCCACCGGCGGTCATGCAGACATCGACATTTTTCCACAAGGAGACACAGGCTGAGGAGGCACGAGTTGACTTGCTCCACCCTCTCGGATTGTACTTCCAGTTACCCCACCTGCTGAGCCTGAGGTGGCCTCTGCTGATGTTACCTTGACTCAGTAAAACCCAGTCGGAGGCTACTGAACGTTCTTTGTAAATCATGTTGCCGGTTTTAGCGGTGCCTGGGCTCCAGGAGGAGACATAGTAGGTCAGCCAGGGGGCCAGCACACAGTGAGCTTGCACACAGAGAGCTCTGGAGCCCATCTCTTTCTAGAGCCTTCTCTTTCCGTTGGGGCCACCTCTACCCTGGCCCTGGTCTATTCTGTTCACCTTGGGTCTCCCCTCTCACCCTATGCTCAGAGGCCAGAGCCAGTCCTGCCAAGCTGGGCTCTGACCGCATTTTTCTAGCCTGTTCTTAAGCCAACGTCTTGCCACAATAGAGGACCCAGTAAAATCTACATTTCTTCCTGTGGTGTTCAAGCTTGCCGTGACCTGACTCCCTTCCGTCCCTTTTCCCTGTCTGTCACTTTCCTTGGACACTTTTAACTCTATGCTAGAGTATCTTAAACATGAGTTGGCCAGGCATGGTGGCTCATGCCTGTCATCCCAGCACTCTGGGAAGCCAAAGCAGGAGGATCCCTTGAGCTCAGGAGTTCAGACTAGGCTGAGCAAGAGGGAGACACCATCTCTACTAAAAATAGAAAAACTGGCTGTGCGTTGTAGTGGGTACCTGTAGTCCTAGCTCCTGGGGAGGCTGAGACAAGAAGATCTCTTGAGCCTAAGAGTTTGAGGTTGCTGTGAGTTAGGATGCCACAGCACTCTACCCAAGGTAGCAGAGTGAAACTATCTCAAAAACAAACAAAATGAGTCATCTGTATGTCACCTCTGTAATTTTTGCCATAACCAAGAACCACCTCAATGTTTAACTCAATAATCCCTTTAAATCAACTCCTTATTCCTAAGAAAATTGATCTGTAAAGGAAAAAAATAACAGTTTCTTTGTAAATTCAAAAATATAGTACCCTTGATTTAAATGGAACACAACTGTAAAAATAAAGATTACGAAAACAAAACCATATTGTTAATCCAAACCAGAGCTAGGGTGCCGACTGAGGGATCTGGGCCTGTGAGTTTTGTTTTAAAAAGTGATATTAACAAGTGATAGAGTTTGAAAGACTGGCTAGCACCTGAGACTTTTCTCTACAGGGAGCATTGGAACAGAAATCACTACCTTCCTGTCTGATTCAGTGTGACTTTAATGCCATGATGACGCCCTATTAAAACTTGTCTGTCTCAACACAGGTCTCATGCGCTCTAAGCAAACCAGAGGTCTTGCCATCCCCCAAATGCGTCCGCCTCTTTGGTCCTTTTTTCTTCCTCTGTGATACCTCCCCCCCTTGTACTGCTATAATTCTTTTTTTTTTTTTTTTTTTTGAGACGGAGCCTCAAGCTATCGCCCTGGGTAGAGTGCCATGGCATCATGCTCACAGCAACCTCCAACTCCTGGGCTCAAGCGAGTCTCCTGCCTCAGCCTCCCAATTAGCTGGGACCACAGGCGCCCGCCACAACGCCCGGCCATTTTTTGGTTGCAGCCATCATTGTTGTTTGGCGGCATCATCCTATCTCACTGTAACCTCAAAATCCTGGGTCAAGTGATCGTCCTATCTCAGCCTCCTGAGTAACTGGGACCACAGATGCACACCATGCCTGGCTAATTTTTAAAATTTTTGTAGAGACAGAATATCCCTGTTGCCCAGGCTGCTCTTGAACTCCTGGGCTCAAGTAATCCTCCGACCTCAACCTCCCAAAGTGCTAGGATCATAGGTGTGAGGCACTGCCGTTGGCCAACACTAAATCTTAAAGAGTTGAAAATAATCTTTTTTGACTCCATGTTTTGCCTTCCAGACATACTGGGGGCAGAAGTCCGGTCCCCAAGGCTCTAGGTGATCACTAACCCCATGATTTTGCTGGGTGTAGCTCCTACCCATAGTTCTGCTGGATGCTGCCCAAGGAGGGACTTTCTGCAGCAGCTCAGCCCTGTGGCAGGTCTCTGCCCAGCTTCCTAGGCTCTCTGAGGAATCCCCTGAAATCTACGTGGAGGAAGCCTTGCCTGCCCAGCTTGTGGGCTCTTCCTACCTACAGATATCTCAGCACATGGATGTCACCAAGGCTCACAGCCTGTGCCCTCTAGAGCAACGCCTGAGTTGCACCTGGGCCTGCTTTAGCCACACCTGGGGTAGCTGAGCAGTACAACACCAAGATGCAGGAAGGTGGCTCTGGGCAGGGAGCCTTGAGGTCTTATAGGTGTTCTGGACTTCTCTCCCACGTGGTGCTGTCTTAACGGTTTTTGCACTCTGGGTCTGTGATGGGCATGGCAGTCCCCAGGATCACCAGAATGCCTTTGGGGTCATTCTTACATTGCCTTGAGGAATAGCCCCTGGCTTCCTTCTAGCCATACTGATCTCCTTATTAATTGGTAGCATGACCACACCCTGTTTTTCCTCTCCTAAATGCACTTTTTTATTCTTTACATGGCTAGGGCTGAGCATTTTTCCAATGTTTACATTCTGCTCCCCTTTTAATTATAAATTCCATCTTCATTTTATTTATTTATTTTTTTGAGGCAGAGTCTCACTTTGTCACCCTTGGTAGAGTGCTATGGCATCACAGCTCACAGCATCCTCAAACTCTTGTGTACAAGTAAGTGACCCTCTTGCCTTAGCCTCCCAAGTAGCTAGGACTACAGGCACCTGCCACAATGCCCAGCTATTTTTAGAGATGGGGCTTGCTCTTGCTCAGGGTGGTCTCTAACTCCTGAGCTTGAGTGATCCACCCGCCCTGGTCTCCCAGAGGGCTAGGATTACAGGCATGAGCCATCACCCCTGGTCTATAAATTCTGTCTTTAAATCATTTATTTCTCCTTGTGTTTTACTGTAAGCAGTTAAGAGAAGCCATGCTCCATCCTAAACCCTTTGCTGCTTAAAGATTTTTTTCTGTCAAATATCCTAGTTCACCACTCTTTTTTTTTTTT